TTCTGTACATGTGATAAACATGAACTTTTGCATCGTATAAAATTTCAAGTACTTTTTGTTGTATAAAGTTTCTAAGCGGAAAAAATACTTTCATAAAATCATACCCTCCTTTTTGTTACTAAGCTGGTCTTTGTTGTTTTAAGTTTTTATTATTGTGATAAACATAAAAAAGCTCTGAATAATTATTTTGACGTTGTATAAAATATGTGTTAAGATATGTTATTTTAACCCAGAGGTCACTGAAGTTAGTAATGAACTATTCAAAGCACGGCATAAAAGTGAGGCAAAATTAGCGGGTTTTAGGATAAAGTACACCTATTCAAGAACTTTAGCATCTTTTTCTGGTACAGTAAGAAAGTCATGCTCGGCGCACATGATAAAATATGAATACAGGGTAATGTCACCAACTCTTTTGACGAGGGAGGCTTTTAACGATTATCTGAAACTATACAAAATGTGGGACAAACATAAAGTACTTAACCATATTAATCTTTTATACAGCTTTATTTTTTCAATAAAAAATCTATTTTCATTATACATATTCTAAACTATATTCATCAACGGTGAAAAGCCACTCTGCTCTTCATAAATCGATCATTAATCCATCGGTACCATTAAGTTTTTTTCCAATAGTTTATCAAACATAATTACATACAAGTTCTTTATATTATTCACTTCATCATTTCCGAGATTAGCGATTTCCGCGTGAGAGAATTCGTAAAGTTAAGCATTAGAAACTGTGAGATCAGTGTCTATGGAAGGGAGAAGTTCGGATAATCACGCGCTATTGGGAGTCTATTGATCATCATCTAAAACAGTTTTATATTGAAAACGAAAAGATAGGAAAAAGAAGAGGTAACTGTGGATAATTATGAAAATAGGAATTTATTCTAATGGCGTGATTTAGGATTAAATAATATAAATGTAAGTTCGTTTTTTACAAGTAAAGCAAAAATCTGTAGTATCTTTAGTATTTCGTTTTAAAACATTGGATTTCTTAGATATTAATTCTTATCAAAACTTCAAGAATGGTATTATCAGGTACAAAATAAAGTTATTAAATGTCTTTAAAAAGGCACATTTATTAAGTTGTCCTCTTCTCTGTTTGATGGTTTATGTTATTTTTTTCAGTTTTATTCATTTATTGAAATTCGAAATTCAAAGTCTAATTTATATACGGTCCAAGTAAATCATATCTATATATTTGATATCTCTTTTTTATTACTTAGATAACTTTTTGTCTATTGTATAATTGTTATCCCTAAGATAACTGTTAATGATTGATGTGTTGTAATATATTATATTCTTTATTTATTAATATGTTTTTGAATTATTTATATGCATGTATCACAGTTTTTAAACAAATGCGTTAGCTATTCTTAAGTCTAAAGTAATTTTATGATTAACAACATTTTGATTAATGAGAATAGAAGAAGTTTAATATGATGAGTGGTTTTTCAGGTTCTTGAATGTTTATTGGCATAAAATAAAAATAAAAACAGCATTGAATAATGATAAAACATGTACTTGGTTTAATTTAATTGATTTTTAAGACATATATTTTGAAAGAAGATTGATAGAAATACACTTAAATTACAGTAATCTTCACTAATAACGATATTGCTTATAACGATATACCGTTTATAACGATGCTGTATCCGCGATCCCGACTCTTCTTTTCAAATCGGTTGCTCCTCGGATATAACGATATACGGATATAACGATATACTGCATATAAGAATGCAGTTGCCGCGGTCCCGACTCTTCTTTTCAAATTGGTTGCTTCTCGGATATAACGATATACGGATATAACGATATACTGCATATAAGAATGCAGTTGCCGCGGTTCCGACTCTTCTTTTCAAAATGGTTGCTTCTCGGATATAACGATATACGGATATAACGATATACTGCATATAAGAATGCAGTTGCCGCGGTCCCGACTCTTCTTTTCAAATTGGTTGCTTCTCTCCGAGACGATATACGTATAACGATATACGGATATAACGATATAAATTCGGCGGTTCCGTGAATATCGTTATAAGCGGAGTTCAATGTTATCGGTAAACTATCGTGATAATATTAAGTTATAGACCCTTATCAATTTTATTAATTAATAATGATTTAATCATAAAAAGTATGATTTGTCTGGTGAAATTAATTCAGCACGTCTTTGAAAATTTTCAAGACTTGTAAAATGGTATGATAATCAAATTACCAATATATACATTATACTATTTTAAAGAAAACACACACACATACGGCGCATCCTATTAAACTAAATGTATATATTAAAACGATTTTCAACAGCTGACATTTGAACTTTCAACACATCACCATCGACGAATAAACAAACATTGAAAACTTTTATGCAATCTGAGAGGTCAAAAAGGCAAACAATATTTGTTTGATATTCTGAAAAAATAGATATTTACTTTCATGTCTAACATCATTGTAGTCTTTAATATTGTCAATGTAATTTAATAAAAAATTGCTCCATGGTACAAGATAGATACGTGTATTTGGGATGGGTCAATAGATACAGACAAAGCAACGTACTTCCAAACAAAAACAGAATGTATTATAAACTTAGTCCTTACAAATATTAGGTCCTAACATACTAAAATAATTACTATGTTGGATATATGCTCGTTTGTGTAAATATTTGTTCAGACTGCACACATTAACATCCCTAGCTTTTGGGAGAATATATTTAATCTGTTAAATAGATAAACGGAAGACGCAAATAGCACAATTCATCGTCAGTTTCGTATATAATTTTGCAATAATTGTACAAGCATTAAAAGATGAAAACCATTTTTAAACAATATCATGCTTTGGTTTCCGTGTAAGTTTTTATTAAACCAATGCATGTAATCATTGAAACAAAATAGGAAAAGAAACCGGGAATGAGAAATGCGATTATCTGAATTTTTATATAATGTTTTTACAGAATAGAGATGGTAGTATTGTTTTATCACAATTTATCATTAATCTTTCAGGGATGAATATAAAAACTGGAAAAAAGAGATTTACGTCAAATATTAAAATACGTATATTCAAATAAGACGTGAAATTCAGCGACCCCAAATGACATTGACTCTAGGGATGTGATTTATGTTGCACTTTCAAATTATCCCTCGTGAATAGACTCTATCAAACAGAGTTTGCGATTTTCATGCTATTATGTTGTTTTAATTGCTTCCGAGGAGGGATCACCCCTGTTTAAATCACATAAATACGATTTTTACCATATTTTTGTGCGTTTTATTTTAACTTATATAATATCTTGAATGGCATTTGCAGCGTCATCAATTATAACAGTTTATATTCTTGTTATTCATAATTGTTATCCCGATAGTTTGAATTGATTTTTCATCCAAGGCGATTCCTTCTTTTGTAACTGCACTTAAACCATTGATGCACTTCCTTACCTTTGCTATTTTTATTATTTATGGTTTTCGTCTAAAGCTGCCATCTTTTAAATTTGTTTCTGTCGATTATTTGTTACCTTTTTTCTTCACAGATGAATTAACGAACGTTTTGATCATGTGTCAAGGAACAAGGTCTTTGATGTATCGTTAATTTCTTTTTTTATGTTTTATAATTGGTCACAGCAACATCGCCCAGTTCTCCAATCCCTGTCTTTCCATTATCTTAATCATTGACCTGTGTTACAATTTGCCGCATAATATCAGATAAATTTTGTAACAAAACCAGCTTCACGTCAATAATTTTTATAGGCCTTTCACGGCAATTCCTTTGATAGCACCTCAAAGGCTGACAGATCTAAATGTTTCGTACTATATAGACATCGCAGGCTATTTCTGATGTTTCAGACAAAAAGAGCACTAATTCAATACATTATATGGCCACTGATTTGAATCTAGTGCTAGCAGAACTGTCCGGGTATGATTTATATTGGACATATTTAAGTTGCCATATTATTGAAATGGATTTTGATCGACATTTCCTGGCATTTATTTCCAGCTCTTATCCAGGTACTTGTCGCATGAAATTGTTGTCATAAATTAGATAAAAAAAGAAGACTTTCATTCTCTATTTACAATGATTATTGTATTTATATATTTAGTTTGTTTAAAACAGCTTGTCCCCAGATTCATGCCATTTTTATGGAAATTTTAAAAAAACAAAAGTTATTTTTACATTGAAAACAACACTCACAATCCAGGTAGATGATCAAAAAGAGATCAAACTATGCCAAAAAATAACTCTCACGCAGTAGAAATGTGTTGATAAATACGATAAAATCAGTCAGTAAAAGCACAAATTATTACTCGAAATTTGAATCATTGTATTTTTCTTAACATTTACATTTTTCTCAAGTTTTTCTTAAGTTTGATTTCTTTGAAATATTTTTGCTCATCTAAAGGCGTGCACCTTTAAAATTTCAATTTAATTTACTTATCCGTTTCCCAAATGTTTCGAATTCGTTATATTTCTTCGTTCACTAATCGATACTCCAATATTGATAAAATAATTCAGCAGGGGGTACCGAGGTTATCCGAAAGCCATTGAAAGTGGTTACAGTTCTAGGAAATGATTTGATAAACACTTCATTTCATGGCAACACCTTAATTAACAATTTATCATCGTCTGTTATTGAAAGCCTTTATTTCCAGATCGATGTTTAAAATCACACCAATGGAGGTAAATGTCCTCTGTCTCTCTTTCTCTTTCTCGTCAACATATCAAATAACGTCATTATTTTACCTGGACATAATTGTCATACAACGTTCATATTATATTCCTTTATTAATCCCGAAGCTTAGCGTATGGTCCTGTCAGTTTGCGATACACTTTTCATAAACTAATCTCGGATCAATCAGCAGTGTTACCAATTTCATGGAACTTAGTAGTGTCATTGAACTTGTTATATTTTGTAGTATAATTTCTCGGAGTATTTTGAACCATATTAAATATAGGACTAGGTGTATTATCAATAATTTGCTTCATAATATGAACTATTCTTCTTACAGATTCAAAAACCTATTCAAAGAAAAGGAGAAAAACAGTTCCACAAGACTATGCTACCAGAAATCTTTAACTTAAACTGAGAAAAGGTTCACACATGTTAACTCAAAGTGCGATGTAGAACTGTGGTGAAGTTTCAAATAAAAAAAGTAAACAAAACACTTAAATGAACGGATATTATACGATGATCAGTTTTGAAAGGACGACATATTCCTTCTGACCTTGACCTTCAAAATGGCGCTGCTATATGAAAAAGTAGTCAGCACTGTGAGTAAGACCCCGGATGAAAGGACAGACGCTGCCATTGAGGGAATCTTGCCATGGTTTCGGAAGAAGTCGGAACTATTCAAATCGCAAAAAGCAGGTATGTCTAATTATAGAAATGTAATGATTACATTTATATTACAATGCCATGACAATATAATTATTTTTGACCGAGTTTTGGCACAGGTGGCAGTATCAGTGTTTGGACACCCATCCCACTTTGCCCCTGGACCCCGGCTACAACCCTGAATATTTGTCTAGTTTTAATATTATCAGTTAGTGTAATTGAAGAAATCGTAAATTGTTATATATCCCTGTTCCAATAAATAAATGCTTTATGCATGATGCAGATATTGTTCTTTAAGAGTAGTAATATCTTTATGTCTTGAAAAAGTATTCGAGGAAATGCAGACTTGTTTCTTAAAGGAAGAGGGGGGGGGGGGGGTGGCATTTATGATATGTATCTACATCAAGAGAAAATTTCATTAAAAGTTTGTAATTCTTTTTTTAAACCGTTATAAAATAAATACATGCATTGTCCATATTGAAAATACAAGCTCTTATAGAACTTTTTTTTCAATTTGACACTTCAAATGATTAAGTGATTAATAGTTTATGGGTTATGTCAATAATAGATTCTGTTTATACATCATATATGTATGATATATCAAAATGTTGCTACATAAGTCATTTACAAATGTATCAAAAATATAAGCTTTATGTAACCCTTTGTAATATTAATTGAAAATTACACACACTATTTAAAGGAATGTATCAGAAATTAAAAGAAAACAATATCTACAGAAGGGTAAACGCTGAACCATAAGGCGAAAATACGTAGGAATTGGTGATTCCAATCTAATAATCTCAGAAAAACTTCTGCACATGTCCACATTAAGTTGTTTGTTTTTAAGAGATAAAATCTTATATCTGTCCTTGCATTGAAGTCTAACTATCTACTATAATAAAGTATAGAAGCAAAGTGTAAATTTGTTAAGTGAATTTAGTAAAGTATAGAACTGTAAAGTGAATAAAGTAAAGTATAGAATTGTAAAGATGAAACAAAGTATAGATTTGTAAAGCGTATCAATACACCAATTTTACTCAGTAGTAGCATTGTGTCTAGCTTTTCCAAGAAACTTGATATACGAGGGGTGATCCAAAAATTCGTGGACAATATGTGTATCTCCATATTGTGACGTCCTACCGAGGTGAACGCTTGGGATATTATTAATCAATGCTTTTTTAATAAATTGACCAAATTTTAAAACACCAATTGCATTTTTTATCTATTTATGACAACATAAAAACATTAAGTTTCAAAATCGCGGCGCAGCTTACTTTTTCTCTGTGATGTAAACGTTTTCATCTCATTTAAACACATGTATAACCTGTGCAAAATATGAAAATTGCGGGAAACGTTATAATAACGTTGTTTTGATGAGTATGACGTCATTCTGTCAGTATCAGAACACATTTTGAAGTTGCGGTTATTTTACGCTCATGCTTTAAAGAACAGGTGCTAAAAACAGCTTTATCAAAAATGGACGTCACGGATCCAGCAAAACTTCGGACAGTTATACAGTTCTGTGTAAATCTTGGAAAGACGCCTGGCGAGACAAAAACAATGATCGAAAGTGTGACAAATAAACCGTCAGTGTGTCGTTCTCTAGTTTATAAGTGGCATCGCCGATTTTCGGATGGAAGGGAAAGTGTTGGGGATGATTCGCGGACTGGTCGACCTGTCGAGGTAAGAGACAAAGAAACTGTTGAGAGGGAGACGTTTTGACAATCTGGACGAGTTGAGAGGAGCCTGCCATTAAAAATGTGTGCGGGTTAAAGGGGAATGCTTTGAAAAGTTATAAGGCAAAACAGTAACGTAGATTACTTCCTATGATAGCATAACGTCATTTGTGACGTCGTGAGCTGCGCCGCGTTTTGTCATGTCTATGTATATAAACTGGTGCATAATCGTTAATTCTTGTACAATCTGGACAATATTTTGAGAATTTGCCGACATATGCTCACTTAATAAGATACTAAAATTTCATGTGATTTGCTTTATTACTTTTTGTTTTATGCAGGGTGTCCACGAATTTTTGGATCACCCCTCGTACTTACAAAGACAAAAATGAAAGGAATTTATGAAAGAAAATCAGTCAAATAAATCAGGGTATTAGTGTCAACTGACATAAAAGTATACAAGGGAATGATTAGTCTTATCTGTTCTAGTTTTCCTAGTTTTATGCTGGACCATAAAATCATATGAGACCACAGATATTTTGTTATAATAGTAAATGGGTAAAAATGGTTCTAGTGACAAAACCTTTGTAAGTTTTTATTTTCCCTTGCCAATAAAAATGTCTGGAGAAAAGTGATCCCTCGGAAGCACTTAAAACAGCAAAATTACCTGAAAATTGCAGACTCAATTTGATTGAGTATATACATGAGAAATAATGAAAAGTGCAACATTCCTCACGCCCCCTAGCACCGACTTGAGCGGTACTCAATTTGCAACACTTAAAAGTGCTGGAATCCAAAAACCATAGAATGATATACTGTCATTTACAGAATATTCATGCATACCTTAAATTAAAAGCATTATTTTCTGTATTTACTCCGGATAGCTAAATATAGGGAGAGGGCCGATCGCTTATGTTGTAAGAACTTGGGCCAAAATTCTTTTGTTATTTATTATTTCGAAAACCTGTTGTTTTTGTGTATAATTACATGTATACATAAGCAATAAACTCTGATTAAACGATTTAAACATAGATTATAAAAAAGCAAGCCAACTCATCATTGTCAAACTTTGTCCTATTGATTAGACTCTATTTTATTTTTAGTTGGGTGTGCTTTGCCTGGTTAGACCCTATCCTATTTGTTAGTGGGCTTTACTTGTTTAGACTCTATGCTCTTTTTTTGGTTGGGTGTGTTTTATCTGGTAAGACTCTATCCTCTTTGTTGGTTGGGTGTGCTTGACCTGGTTAAACTCTATCCTAATTTTACAGTTGGTGTAGTTTACATGGTTAGACTCTATTCTTTTTTGTTAGTTGGTGTGGTTTATCTGATTTAACTCTGTTCTCTTTGTTGGTTAATTGTGCTTTACCTTGTTAGACTCTAACCTCTTTGTATGTTGGGTGTACTTTTTCTGGTTAGACTCTATCCTCATTATGGTTGGGTGTGCTCCACCTGGTTGGTCTCTATTCTCTTTGTTAGTTGGCTGTGCTTTACCTGGTGAGACCCTATCCTTTGGTTGTTTGAGTGTGCTTATCCTGGTAAGACTCTCTATCCTGTTGACTGCTTAACCCGACTATTCTCTATCCTTTTGTTTGTTCAACCTTACCATAGTGATAACTGAATCAAATAAACAAGCAATGGACAGTTATTATATATAGTTGCAAGTCTGCGATATCCACGAATAAAGTTTATTTTCATTGTCCTCAAGGGATCTAACATTTTCATAATTAATATGTTCACAAAAGCGGCAATAAACTGTCATGTAACAATAGTAAATTAATACCATATTTAGGTATATACTGCAGGTAATTCGTATAATTTGTGCTGAAGATTGATTTCTGCTTACTCCGGTGCTAGGGAGCGTGAGGGATTTGGCATTTTAACTTGTCCCACGTGACGAACCAAACCAGTCTGCTGATGCTATTTATAAATCTATCAAATACATTAATTTTTTTTTTAATGCTTTCAAATTCATTCTATTCAGAAAAAAGCTCTTAATCGGTTCCATTAGGTATAATTTTCTGAACATTAAGCTATATCGTTTATAAGTAGCATCAGTATAATATACGTACTTGAGCAATTATTATAGCTTTAGCCTTAAAGACTGTTTATAATAAGTTATTAATCATTAATTTCTGTCGCCTATTAGAATTTCAATCAATCAATTATGAAAGAAAACTGTAAAGAGAGTTTGCGGGTCTTCATCTTTGCAGTTCGTCTATTTCTTAACTTAATTATTTACACCCATTAAAGCGTCGATTTACATTAACCGCTGTGTTAACTGGATTGAATTTTTTCAATACAAAACACCCAAAAGACATGCTTAAAGATCTCAAATAACAAAGGCCAGGTCATACTGTTAATTAATCTTCTACAATATTTTATAAAAGTGTTTTCAAAAATGTACTATTATATAAAATGTAGCTTTACAAAATTGATATTGACTTATTGATCTTTGTGTTTGCTGTTTAAATCTGAAATGTCTATAGCTGAGATTTGAACAATAAAGGTAAATGGTATTCAAGGACTTGGATATCCGAAATACTTATATCACATTCCTATACATTAATAGAGGCTTCTCAGAATATCCCACCAAGCAAGTGCTAAAATATCTATTTATATCTAAGGGTACGTTTTGATTTGTTTTAAATATAGTAAAAAATAAAAAAAACCTATTAATTAGGTAACTATGGCGGGACATACTATAGGAAATACTATAAACAACGTATTAATTAGAAAATATAGCGGGGCATTAAGGAAGGAAAATAAACAAGGTATTTAATTGAAAAATATAACAGAACAATAGGAAAGACTATAATCAACGTACATGTATTGATTTGGAAAATATAGCTGAACATTAAGGAAAGAAAATAAACAAAGTATTAATTTAAAAAAAAACATAGCGGTGTATTAAGGAAAGATTATACACAACATGTTAATTTGAAAAATATAGCGGACAATTAAGAAAAGATTATAAACAACGAATTAATTGGAAAAATATAGCGGAACAGTAAGGAATGAAAAGAAACAACGTATTAATTTGAAAAATATAGCGAAACTTATTGAAATAAGCAACCAAATTAAAAAAATTACATCTGACTTATTTTGTTACTTTTCATAGTTGGACTATAACAAAGTTCATGAAGTTCACCAAGTTTAGTAATATAATATTCACAAAAATTGACTTATAGTTACTTCCCCTGACGTTATATTTAGAAGATCTCATATTGAAATAACGCTGTAAAGTATTGAATTCATTCGTATGTATTTTGTCTTGGATAAATTGTATTATTAACGCCACATATCACATTTCACATTACTCCCACCTCGCACTTACAGCTGACTTGAGCCGCGTCATGACAAAACCAACGTAATGGGTTTGCGACCAGCATGGATCCAGGCCAGCCTGTGCATCCGCGCAGTCTGATCAGGATCCATGCTGTTCGCTTACAGACGCTATAACAAGTAAAGAAACTGATAGCGAACAACATGGATCCTGATCAGACTGCGCGGATGCGCAGGCTGGTCTGGATCCATGCTGGTCGCAAACCCATTATGATGGTTTTGTCGTGACGCGGCTCACTTATCTGTTTGTTTTCCATCAAATCTCATCTGTAACCGGTTAAAGCTATTCTATTGAGAATAATCTTTAAAGTTGAATAAAAGAGAAGATGATTTCAAAGATAGTGAGCTATTTTTCGATCTCTTTTCAGTTTTAGATACGATTGATAACAATTGGCTTGGCATTACCATTTTTCTTTACTATTATATTTATAAAATGATATATATAGCTTTTAAAAGACTTATTTACAATACAAGTCACAAATATTGAAAATAGCTTTACACCTTTATATTAAAATGAATTCATAATTTCGCATTAACAAAGTGCATTAGACACATAATACGTTCTGATATGATAGGTGCTGGTATGAATTATGGAAATCTATTGAGAGCAATGCAAATTAAAATAATAAGTGAATCTTATCACCTTGTGCCATGACAGAATGTAGTTTTGTAGCACTTAAAAAAGCAGTATTAACAATTCAAGTTTAAATGAAGTTTTAAGTTCAATGACACCTACACGCTCAATCCCCATACTTACGTCATCAAAAGAGCCATGTGAGAAATAAGATGTGAAGTGTTGGGAGCGTCTCGCAGTTCGGCGAACAGAGTAAAAAGAAAACTTATCGTTTTACAAATGTATTATCATCTAAACAGCTATAACAAAAATCATTTACAGGCGATACCAACCGGTTGTTTAAGTCAGTCATTTAATATAACTGCTCTTGAAAATTGGGTTGTTTTCAACTAGGTCCGCGATATAATAAACATGGATATGACCAGAGTAATAGAGAATAATTTTCACTAAAAGCTTTTTTTAATAAATACTTGTGATGGTATACGTATGATCATATTTCCCAATTTGAAACATACATGGAATTATGATGTTTTATCTTATTATTATCTTATTTTATTCTATGTTTTAACAGTATAATGTTTTACGAAAAAGAGTGGACTTATGTTTAAACAGATAATTTTAAATGAGGATATAGAATTTCAAAAATCATCAAACATTCAGTGTCTATGTGCACTGGTATAAAGATGGGATGGTTTACTTATTTTCATGTAAAAAAGAGCATTCATCATTAAAAGACCATTAGTCCAAGAGGGGGTCCATTTATAAAAGATTTTTGATAAACAAACTGCATTAACATTCAAAGTTGTTAAAATCATCTTTGACTTTCCTCTGTTTATCTTATAAGTATCCGGATAAAACTTTGTGAATTCTGTCTGGTAAATGCATGGATTACACTCACAAACATTAAAAACTTTAACTGAACTTTCTACCTATAAGTATTAACAATACATGAGATTGCTTAGAATTTTATTATCTTATCATTCAACTTACAACATATTACTGCATATAAAATAAATGAGATTAGCCATGCGTTAAGCTATCATTTAGTCAAGTTTAAAGATTCGCGTCTCTAATTAAACGAACAAAGTTTCGAAAAATGAAAAAATAGAAAAAAAACTCATGGAATGTTTTAAGAATTAATAGATACATTATTAGTAAAATATGGGATATTTTGCATATTAAAACAAAACACGTTGATTTGTTTTTGCTATTTTGTCACCTTATATAAACCCCATTAATAACGGAGTATGAATATTTCTGCAGAGTTCAATCCATTTTAAGTAATTTATGTGAAATGTTTATGCCAGCATAAATATTTGTCCACCTATCAATAGGTCCACAAAATAAAGCTCTTTATAAGTTTTGATAAAATGGACACGGTTCTTAGATTTGTGCTGCATTTATTATGGATACTCTATCTCCAGTTTCTTTGCCACAGTCCTTTAATCATGTCGTTGTTCGTGTGCTGGGGTTCATTCATCATTTGTTGAGGCTCGTTGTTATTTTGTTGAGGCTCGTTGTTCGTTTGCTGAGGCTCGTTGTTCATTTGTTGAGGCTCGTTGTTCATTTGTTGAGGCTCGTTGTTCATTTGTTTAGGCTCGTTGTTAACTTGTTGTGGTTCAAGTTGAACTTGCACCACTGTCTGTCCAATTGAGTTTCTCACCACATTTTGTACTTCAATACTTTGATATCGCTAAAATAAAATTTTCGTTTGATAGCAGAGTTAGGTACATAAGATTAGTTAAAATCGAACGGGTCACAATTAAAAAACGTAGTCAAGCGATGAACAAAAAACTCTAAAAAAATCATTAGTTATTATGTAGTAGTGTTTACAGTTTGGTTACATAGATTGAAAAACAAAACAAATTCATACTTATTGTGACGTATAAATACGAAATACTTTCTTCTATTCATTAAAGTTATTGACAATACAAAGTAAGGCTTAAGCTCCCTAGCACCGCGAAGTTTTACATTTTAGTTCATATATACTCATACAAAAACGACATCAGATATATACATTTATTTATAAAGTTTGTAACCTTATTACTAAAGAGTAAGAGGTAATTTTCATGTAAGGGTTTATATTATTAGTTATACAGATTTTTGACAAGTTATATAAACGGTTGTTTGAATAATATGATACAGCAAACTTTCTTTTTAAAGGAAAAAATATAATTTCTTCATTAACTGACGGCAGTCGTGTATATGAAACCCTTAAACGTCACGATTATCCAATACAAAGCGACGTAACAAACGTGCAGTATTATAAAAAAAAATATGTAAACGTCACGATTATCCAATGAAAAGCGACGTTACAAACGTGCAGTATTATAAATATAATGATTAAGGGACAATTATTGTGAAGGAACATGATACTTACACTCTGTACTCTCCTGCAAGTGTCACAACAATCTGTCAAACCATTGGTACACCAGCGCATAGGGTCTTTGTGAAGACCATACAGAGACTCTACCTCTATATACCTACAGTCTACCGATCCGTCCATCATCCATACATAATTATCTACACATTGATCTTGTTGTTGTTGTCTGTATGGCATTCCATAAACTGGTGAATAAACATTTGAGTCAATTTATTGATTACAAAACGGATTTTAATTTTCAGACTTATAAGAAAATACATTATTTTGTATATTGCTTGAGCATTACATAGACGATTAATACTTTTACATGAATTGCCAAGATGACAGGTATTATCTGAAGCTGGACCAATGTTAGACAAACAATCCACTTTGAAAGAAAAATAGAAGAAAAAAGAAACATAGTAAAAATAAAATGGAAACATGAAAGAACGCCTAAAACAAAACAAAAATAAAATTGTTGCAAGAGCCTGTTTAGGGGGGACAGCGGTAAATGCAGTCTACCATACACGTGCCCTCTCACTGGCTAGATTTTAAGTAGGAAGGATGGCGTTTAAGAATTTACTAACAAAAAAATATCTTTAATAATTTTAATGTGCTTAGTCGCCTGAAAAAAATCTCACACAAAATGTGATATAAGATAAAATTCTATTAAACTTTTCCAAGAAAATGTTAAAAGGTTCCAAAGAGACTAAATTTATAACAAATTCTTGAACTCGTTTAATAAAATATCATATTTTTATGTAATAAATTATGGCAGCTCACCTCACACGAGGTCTTACTTTTTATCATTTTTATACATAATTATGTATTTTGCTTAGGTCATTTCAATTAGATTAATAAGTGTTTTCTACAAAAAAAAATATTTTTGTAGACGTCTTGCTATTTTTTTCACAAATCTGTATTTGGTAAAAAGCCTATTTGGTCAAGATAGTGTTGGGAAAGAAGGTCAGTTTCAGTTGTAAGCTGGAAAACTGAGGTCAATTACATTACAAAACAATTATAAGCGGTTATGTATAATATACAATTGCATATTCTAAATAATTTGCATATATGCCACCGTCCTAAGTATAGTTAATCAATGCTTGGATGAATCCGTTTTGTGGTTTTATAAAATTAAGTGAAAACAAGTCTGTTTTGATGGAAAAAAATGTAAAAAAAGTTTATGTGAATATTCCGGATATTTTGAAATATCAAAGTGAAATATTTTCCTTCTGTCATAACTTAAACACATGCGAATGTTTCAAAAATCTAAATAAAAAACTAATTTCTTGTTTAAATGTTGGGTTCTGTTTAAGCCGGTGCTAGCGAGCGTGGTATCTTGCATTAACCAATATCTACAAGCCGGTTACAGTGTTTTTTTGTTTTTTTGTTTTTTTATTTTACCATGTTAAACATTCTTTCTTCCTTTTCCATTATCTAAAATAATTAAGCTTACCTAATGCAGGCAGTAAGAAAGCACAAAGGAAAATCCTGATGCTTCCAACCATGTTTCCGTCCATCACCAAGTCACTTATCTTAATCCAAAAACGTTTAATAAAGTTTTATTTTCAAGCTTACAAGCCGCGACTGCGTACAAAAATGCAACAATGTGAAAATCTTGTGTAACTTAATTGTTAGAGTTTATATACTGGTCATGTTTAGAACATCAAATGTCTAATTAGCCTTAAGTAACACGTACTGACTTTCAAATTACAACGAGGTCCGTTGCAAAGGTTTAGTGATTAATATTTGTCATCATTATCATTTGTTCGTATAATATATCGTGATAATGACTTCTTATAATTATATTTTGTGATATTCTTTTTAGATATGCATTTAGTCATTATTTACTATTTGTTTATTGCCCTTTTTTTGTATTTCTTTGATATTGCTGATAATTTGGACAAATCTTTGTTTTTTCTGACATGGTAACAAGGATACATATGTTTCCTGAATTTGCTGAAACACCTTTTCTTCAAAAAGTATTCCTTCAACGTCATATTAAACTGTAAAATGATAAAATACTATATTTAAAAGCATGATTTGTTTTTAAGAAACTTTTGTTTTGCACATATAAATTTAAATTTACGTTTAAAGACTATGTTCAAAAACTTCACTAGTTTGTTTTCAAATAACTGTTATGCATTTGTTTTGTTTTTTCTGAATTTCTTTAAAGTTCCTTTAGAATAAATCGTGTTTTTCTATGACAACATATTTTGTATAGCAGTCTATTGCGAGTTGAATCAATGTCCAAAAAGACACAACAACCATCTACAAAGTATAATTGAGATCTCATTTAAGTATAGTAACTTTATGTACCTGACATGAAATGTTGATTCCATTCCTACCTTATACAAATGGATTATACTAAAACCTTCTCCACGCTAAGTATTCTAAATGGACTTGTCCATTTTTAAATTTGGACAAAAACATTCATCATTCTTAATGAAAATTTAAAGATACTGGCTGAGAGGCGGACAGTGCAGACCATGATCAGACTGTCGCTTGGACACCAGCAGACTCAGATTTAAACCGATGTCATTATGATGTTACTTACTTTTGATAGAATATTTGAGCCGCGTCATGACAAAACCAACATAATGGGTTTGCGACCAGCATGGATTCAGACCAGCCTGCGCGATCAGGATCCATGCTGTTCGCTATCAGTTTCTCTACTTGTAATAGGGTTTGCAAGCGAACAGCATGGATCCTGATTAGACTGCGCGGATGCGCAGGCTGGTCCGGTTCCATGCTGGTCGCAAACCCATTATGTTGGTTTTGTCGTGACGCGGCTCATTTTTATGAAATGGTTGTATCCTGATAACTCGTAAGTTCTGAGTGGTTGAGAAGTCTGAAATGTTTGTTGAACAGGCCTTACAATTGTATTACGTAAATATTCGTCACACACGAACCGCTATGTTATTTAAATGTATTACTTGTAAACATTTTGGTAACTTCAAATGCGATGTGTAATGTTGCTTCATTAAAACATAAAACAAAGTGTCGCATCTCTTTAACATTTTGTTCATTTTTTACCTTTACTTCAATTTATGTCTGTGTGCATTTTCTCATTTGAATATTTAAAATGAATGATAATAGAAACAATAACACTGTCTAAAATGATCCCAAGATTAGTTGTTACTACATTTATATTTATTCGTCATTCGCAACCACGGTGATATGCAAACTAGATAATCTAAGTCTTAGGCAGCACAAAGCTGTATAAAAAACAGGATTTAAAATGAAAAATAAGTAAAGGAAGGCAATATTCAGTCAAACAAAACCTCAGTAGAACACCGACTAGAAACAGGAACAAGGCATTTTAATGAGAGCATAGAAAAGGCGGATCAGGATGGGTATTAACTTACAATTTCAAACCATATAAAAATCATTAGAAACAAAAAGTTGAAGTCTTTTTTAATTGAACTTGTTAACCGTGGAAAATGATGGGATTTTCTTAACAATAGTAAAATAATCAAATAATAAGTCACATCCATCGTGGTAAAAATGAAATATTTACTGCTTGGTTAATTTAAACCAGTTTATGGACGGCTGATTAATTGTAAGCGCGTGGTAAATAATGAGTATAATAGTGAAAAAACAAATATTAAACGTCACAACGTAAAATAAAGTTAACTAAATAACATCAGCATTTCGTGTAAATGTTACTGAGTACACATAAATTAATAATGTCTAATAATTGTACGTCTAAACATAGCAGTTAAAACTTAAGCACTGTTTTTATTTCAATGTATCTCCATACATATTTTAAAAATGCGTGCATTCATAATGATACTGTATTGTTACATTATTAAATATACGTACTTTGTTTCATAAACACTGTAGAGAAATACGAAGCGCACAATATATATAACACTTAACGTACTTTGTTTCATAAACACTGTAGAGAAATACGAAGCGCACAATATATATAACACTTAAGTGTTTTCATAAACACTGTAGAGAAATACGAAGCGCACAATATATATAACACTTAAGTGTTTTCATAAACACTGTAGAGAAATACGAAGCGCACAATATATATAACACTTAACGTACTTTGTTTCATAAACACTGTAGAGAAATACGAAGCGCACAATATATATAACACTTAAGTGTTTTCATAAACACTGTAGAGAAATACGAAGCGCACAATATATATAACACTTAAGTGTTTTCATAAACACTGTAGAGAAATACGAAGCGCACAATATATATAACACTTAACGTACTTTGTTTCATAAACACTGTAGAGAAATACGAAGCGCACAATATATATAACACTTAAGTGTTTTCATAAACACTGTAGAGAAATACGAAGCGCACAATATATATAACACTTAAGTGTTTTCATAAACACTGTAGAGAAATACGAAGCGCACAATATATATAACACTTAAGTGTTATATATATTGTGCGCTTCGTATTTCTCTACAGTGTTTATGAAACAAAGTACGTATTCTTGTCTTTGCCATAATTCATTGAAAGTTCTATTTGTCAATTACGGAAGGCAAATATATTGATAAATGATAAATGAACAGAATGGAATAGATTTACAACAATACCGTAAAAAAGGTATGTTCGTGAAGTTGGCAGCCTAGCAGCCTAGCAGCCCAGCAGCCTGAAGTTGGCAGCCTAGCAGCCTGGCAGCCTAGCAGCCTAAAGAAAACTAAGAATAGTACAAACATGAAATCGTCGGATATGAATCGGAAGCACATACTTAGACTATTCCACGTCTTATTTCAGTATCGCGATCTTTATTTTTTTAAATATTGATCTTTGTTTTTTTTATTTTGACGCTTCGAAAATTGTGAAGTTAGCAGCCTAGCAGCCTAAAGAAAACTAAGGAAAATACAAACATGTAAACCGTCGGAAATGAGTCGGTAGCACATACTTAGACTATTCCACGTCTTTTTTCAGTATCGCGAACTTTATTTTTTTAAATATTGAACTTTGTTTGTTTTTTTTTTTGTTTTTTTTTTGACACTTCGAAATTTGTGAAGTAAGCAGCCTAGCACCCTGGCAGCCTAGCAGCCTAGCAGCCTGGCAGCCTAACAGCCTAAAGAAAACTAAGGGCAATACAAACATGTAAACCGTCGGAAATGAGTCGGTAGCACATACTTAGACTATTCCACGTCTTTTTTCAGTATCGCGAACTTTATTTTTTTTTAATATTGAACTTTGTTTTTTTTTTACTCTTCGAAATTTGTGAAGTTAGCAGCCTAGCAGCCTGGCAGCCTAGCAGCCTAGCAGCCTAAAGAAAACTAAGGATAATACAAACGAAATGAGTCGGTAGCACCTACTTAGATCATTCCACGTTTTATTTCAGTATCGCGATCTTTATTTTTTTAAATATTAAATTTTATTTTATTTTTCATTCTGACGCTTCGAAATTTGCGGGATTAAACATGTTTATCACACACCCGTGCCGATTTTGCGACTCCGTAAATATGGTATTGCACGGCCGTGCATATATTTTGACGTGACGTTATAAGCGTTATACAAATATAATGTAAAGACGCGCTAAATATTAGCGTTAAACTATAGGCGCGTCAATGAAAAATGACTCTTATTTCACTTTAAACGGTCTTTATTTTGGGTATGTGATAAATAGAATATTAAATTCGTGTAAGTTCATTACTGAATTTATTGCACTCGATGAATAAAATAATATTATGCTCGCCAGAGGCTCGCATAATATAATTTTATTCAACTCGTGCAGTAAATTCAGTATTGAACTTACACTCATTCAATATCCTCTATTTTCGAATAACGTAGGAAGTAGTCTTAATCTTAACATTTTCGCGGCTAATAATGTCGCTGTCTATGGACAATAAGCGACGTCATGTGACTTATTTATGATATGCTATTTTGTATGTATATGTTTATAATGAAGTTGACGATGTTCAACGCATATTTATTTTAGGTCTGTAAAGATAAATCGGTTGAAATGTAAAGAGATATACAATGCATATGTTTAAACGAACACATTAATGAACATAAAGATTATCTGAACTTAAGAACAATACCCATTTGATCAATAGCCGCGGTACTGAAAAAAGACGTGGAATAGTCTACGTATGTGCTACCGACTAATTTCCGACGGTTTTCATGTTTGTATTATCCTTTGATTTCTTTAGGCTGCTAGGCTGTTAGGCTGCCAGGCTGCTAACTTCACAAATTTCGAAGAGTAAAAAAATAAAGTTCAATATTAAAAAAAAAGTTCGCGATACTGAAAAAAGACGTAGAATAGTCTAAGAATGTGCTACCGACTCATTTCGGACTTTTACGTGTAAACATGTTTGTATTGTCCTAAGTTTTCTTTAGGCTGCTAGGCTGCCAGGCTGCTAGGCTGCTAGGCTGCCAGGCTGCTAGGCTGCTAACTTCACAAATTTCGAAGAGTCAAAAAAAAACAAAAACAAACAAACAAAGTTCAATATTTAAAAAAATTCGCGATACTGAAAAAAGACGTGGAATAGTCTAAGTATGTGCTATCGACTCATTTCCGACGGTTACATGTTTGTATTTTCCTTAGTTTTCTTTAGGCTGCCAGGCTGCTAGGCTGCTAATTTCACAAATTTTGAAGCGTCAAAATAAAAAAAAAACAAAGTTCAATATTTAAAAAAATAAAGAT